TATATATATATATACATGTATATATATGTATATATGTATATATATGTATATATGTATATATATATATATATGTGTGTGTGTGTGTGTGTCAGACAATGAGAAAATATAAGATGTCATATATTTGTCAGACAAACCTGAAACTATTAAAAGACATATGAATATATATTTTACAAAGCAAAAAAAAATAAATATAAAAAGATATTTGAAAAATAAATTCACTGCTACATTTTCCATTTTCTCATGGATTTTTTTTTCAAACATTTCTTTTAACTCTAGATCTGTGTGACCACGGTCGATCACTGTCACCAGGGAGTGTCATGGCAGAGCCAGACTATCTCGCAGAAGACTGCAATGAGCTCATTCAACCCAAAAAGCTGCTTAACCCAGTCAAGACCTCCAGAAACCACCAGGACCTCCACCGAGAGCTGCTCATGAACCAAAAGAGGTTAGGGGGAAAAAAAATGAAACCCCTTTGCTCTCCCTCTTCTCTCTTGCTCCCTTTATCTCTCTCTCTTTTTTTATGTTTCTCTTTTTTGAAATCAGGGTAAATCACTTGAATGTAGGTCCATTGATAACCTGCTTTGTTGACCTACACAGTTCAGTTTTCATACAACACATCAACCAAGCTTTGATAAAGGATACGTGCTTTTAGAGTAGTAGTCTCAGACACTACAGGAACGAAATTGTGAAAATAACAAATGGTTTACAGCATAATGAAGCAAAAAAAAAAAAAAGTTACAGCAACTGAAGCTTGTCCAATGGGCATTACAGTGCATTACAGCAGCAGCTCACTGTTGGGTTTATTAACCCTTTCATGCATGACGGTCACTACAGTGGACAGCTATGAAAATGTCATTTTCTATGATAAGAATAGGTTTTGATGGCAGTGTTGCATATAAGCCTCTACGGTGGACGCCTGAGAATCACCCAATGCTGCCATACAGTGGTCAGCCTTTGCAACTGCAGAATAATTGTGTCAACATTCAAAAAGAAAAATTTGGTGTATAAAAACAGAACCGAATCAGTTCTTATTTTTATGTCTAAAAACACATAAAAACACTTCGTAACATTTTTTTAACTCAGTATTCTGTCTGGTTTACCTACTGTTGGGTGCATATCCAGAATTTCGATAGTTTTGCTAGTAAAACGAACAGATCATCCACGCAAACCTTGAGCTACACTTTCAGTACTGCCCGGTTAAAATTTAGTTTGATTATCCAATTTTGTTTTGTTTTTGTTTTTTGTTTTTTTTGGTTACCCAGTTTTTACACACATTTAAATTTGTATTCAAACACATTTGCTTCAATTCAACATATTAGTAGTTAATAGATAAATAGCGACAGAAGATACAGCGGGTCCTCGGTTTACAACGTCCTCAACCAACGGAATATCATGGTTACGTCGCCATCTCCTATCGATTTGTGAGGGAACGTCTTTTTCCATTTTTCCGATGTATGGAGTTCTTTCAACATTAAAACAAATTTCAAGAGGGAAGTACCTGGCGAGGGTAGAGGATGAATATGTGCATTTACTGGTTGCATATATGTTTATGTGTATATGTACTGTATATATATGTATATATGTATATATATATGTATATATATGTATATGTATATATATGTATATATGTATGTATATATATGTATATATATATATGTATATGTATATATGTGTATATGTATATATATGTATCTATATGTATATGTATATTCCCTACAGTCTGTCTTTGAACTGTTAGCCCATACACACTTTCATGTGCACAGATCAGTGAATTTAGAGTAATCTTTTCTGTAGTGGAGTAGTCTTTCTGTGTAATCTGTGTTAATCTGTGCTCTCAAAGCAGCATGTCTAGAACTAGGTCATAGCTGTGCAGTCTAGTATATTTCATTTAACAGCACTGTACCCCAAAATATTTTCATTTTTTCATGCCATTTCTGTTCATTGAAAAAAAAAAACAACAACAAAAAACATTATTTTTCCTTCCTAACAGGGGTCTGGCACCTCAAAATAAACCAGAACTCCAAAAAGTCCTGGAGAAAAGAAAGAGGGAGCAAGTTCTCAAGGCTCAGAAGGAGGAGCAGGAGGCACACATGAAAAGGAGCGACCTGGAAGTAGAGCTTATGAAACGACAACAGAAACTAGAGCAGGTGATTAAAAAAAAAAGGAATTTATTATTGAATATCTTATGTAGAGATTGTTTTCTAGATTTTCTTAGAATATTTTAACTAAGATTAAATACAGTATTGTATAGCCCAAATGTTAGATGATGAAACTGTTATTTTTTTTAATTAGTTGACTAAATCACATATATATTATTTGATTTATTTTATCAATATATATATATTAACAACAAAAAAGCTGTATTTTGCGATGTAAAGCGCTAGCTTAAATTTAGTTTAGTGTCCAAAATCCAAATGTTTGCCTTTTCTCAATTTGTTTATTCAAACTTGTAAATAGTACTACTCACTACTACTACTCAGTTTAACTGATATTTTGCTTCCTGGAAAGCAGGAGACAGTGTTTTTTTAATTGAAACTCCTAATTGTGTAAAGGCTCTACTCACTGTCTGTTGTTTATTCAAACTTGTAAATAGTACTACTACTCAGTTTAACTGATAGTTTGCTTCCTGGAAAGCTTTATTTAACCTTTTTACCTATTTTATCTTTTTTTTTTTTTAGATATTGTATACCATATACTGTATATAGATATTTTCTTTAATAAAAAAAATTATTCAACTTTCTTTAGTAATAATAAAGTTTATTTATTTTTATTAAAACTGTGCCACCCACCGCCATCCAGTTTGCTGTATATTGAAACCCAACTTCGAAATGTATTGCCAACAGTACTTTATATTGACAAGTATACAAATGAAAATTAAATGAAATGACAGTCACTCAATTCATGCTTCAAAATCACGAGCCTGGATTGATCATGTAACCTTAAAGTATGCATAAAAGTGTGTCTTTTAAACAAAGTTTATGTTATGTTAAATTATTATTTTCCCTAATTCCTTTAAATACTGGGTTACTGGGTTATTTACATATATTGCTAAAACATTTGTTTAGTGCTGGGAAAGCATACAGACTTGGTACTTTTCTTTAAGGACTTTAAAGGTCATCTAAATAAATATGGTGCTCAAGGTCATTCATTATCTTTCAAATGAATTTGCAAACATCTTTATTCCTGCAGCTGGAGCTGGAGCAGCAGAAAATAGAGGAGGAACAAGAGAACACCCCAGAGTTTGTGAGGATGAAGAGCAACCTGCGCAGGACCCGACAGGAGGCCGACGGCGAGGCGCAAACCACCTAAAACTGTTCCGAGAGTAGGAGTGCGTGTGTCTGTGTGCATGTACGTGCTCCAGAAATACACCCGGTCTGCCACAAACTTTTTCTTCTTGACAGAGCTGTTCCTTTCTGCAAGGAAGAGGAAAAACTTTTTTTTACGGAACTCGTCTCATTCTGTCATCGGGTGCCAGCACTCGACTCCTGCTTCTCGCACTCGGTCAGGAGCACACGGTGCCCTGTAGGGTGGACATGTTACAGACATGTTACGCTTTAAAAACCTGTATTTAGGGCTGGAGAGTCCTACAATACTGGGAAAAGGAAACCTGAGCAAACGGCTCAAACAGGAGCGCTCTCCCCTGATTTTATCCCCCCCTCTCTCCCCCCTCCACTCAGCCAGCTGTTGTTTCTAATAAGTGTTTCTCATCGTAGATATTGTTGACGTTTTATTTTCTCATTGTCGGAGTCAAATAAGGAAAGTGGACACTGGATATGCTCTTCTTTAAGCTGTGTAATGTAAGGCCAAACAAATGTGCTTTTGTTATTTATGTTTGTAGCTTTTAGCCTTGATATGATGGAGGACTTTGTTTTACGGGTTAAATCGATGTAGCCAGAACAGGACAAAGTCACCGTACAGTTGTTGTTTTCTTCACCTTTTCTTCATAACATGCAATTTTGTCCTGTTATACAATTGATTTGGAGCAATATTGAGTAAAAGTGTTACATTAATTTTTTTCTTTTTTTTTTTTTTTTTTTTTTGAACTAACGTTCGTACAAGACCGATTTATGGACTGGTGCATTTCATGATAGGACGTAATGCTCCTAAAACAAATATTTGTTTGTCTTTAGTTAGAGTGGGGCATAGACAAGTCAGTTAAGTTAATTAAAGTCAACCTGAATGGTTTGACGTACAGTATTTAACCAGCAAAGCAAAAAAAAATTTAAGTTAAATTTGATTGTTTCTGATAATTTAAATATGACAGACATTCATGTTTTACTGATTAAAAAGAATGATAGTTTTTTATTGTTATGAAAATTCTGAGTTAAAATAATGCTGTTTGCTTTTCAACAATCTTTTTTTTTTTTTTTAAATAAATCTAATAAAACAATGCTTCTTATCTCATTATTCAGTCTACTGAATTAAACTGCAGTGTTTTTTATGTTACCTATAGTGGGGTATTCATACAAACCTTAAAGGTCCACAAAGAATCTTTTAAGGAAAAGGTCAGTTGAGGGTGTACCTATATAATTAATCTACGCTAATATAGTGGTAACATCATAATCTAGAACATAAATTGTGCCAAGGGAGGAATTGTGGTTTTGTATGAGGAAGTCAGGAGTGGCAGAGAAGTATGTTAGTTTGGTGCAGGACATGTATGAGAACAGTACAACAGTGGTGAGGTGTGCAGTTGGAAGGACAGAAGACTTCAAGGTGGAGGTGGGACTACATCAAGGATCGGCCCTGAGCCCCTT